ATATATAATCGGTTGCTTGACCTGTTCACTTTTGCTAGTAGCCTTTGTGATCTGTCTAAAATAGTCATAACACCTCCTTCAACCTCAACTTTGCATCCGTTCTCATCTAACTGGCCAAGACTTATTATGTTGCTCTTCAATATCGGGCTGTAGTAGACATTAGTAAGTATTCGATGTTCACCTGCGAAGCCTTCAAACAAAACTGAACCTCTTCCTTGGATTTCTACAGTCGAGCCATCCCCAAATTTGACCGACCCTTTAATTGTCGTGTCAATTTCAGCAAATTTTTCAAACCGGTCATGTGATTACTTGCACCAGTATCTAAATACCAAGCATTCTCTCGGGTGTTTTTAAACTTTGACACCACCTTGTATTCATGCAATAACACATGCTCGTTCTGTATTGTGTGGCTGAGAACACAAGTTTCTGTCATCAACAGTGCTGGTTCATTTTCGGTTTGCGTTGCAACAAGGTTTGCTTTTTCTCTTCGGTTTGGTTTGGGACACTCTTTTGCAAAATGACCATATTCATTACAATTGAAACACTTAACCTTGGATTTGTCGAAGTTACGTGGCTTTCGGTCTTCACCTCGACCTCCACCATATCCACGCCCACGACCACGTCCTCTCCCGTGACGTCCTCCTTTTTTGTTGTTGTTGGAACCTTCATCTTTCTTTGCCTTTGAGATTCTTGCCTCCCACTCGGCCTGGGTAAGGAGTAACTGTTCTCCACTACCCTTTGAGTGCAATCGCCCTTTAAGCCCTTCCTCGAAGGTCTTGAGACGACCTATCGCCTCGGATACCGACATCTTCTCAATATCGCCAAATTGTTCGATTGTTCCAATAATTTGGAGAAATCTATCTGGAACTGCACTGAACAATTTTTCAACAACTTCACTGTCGTCGAACTTCGTGCCCAGTGAGCGGATCTCACCCACCAACGTGGTAAGCTTCATGGAAAATTCGTTTATTGTCTCTGAACCCTCCATGTGTAACTTGTTCAGTTGTCGTTTCAGA